TATTTCTCTCCTCAGTGAGATTTTCTCCTATGCAAGTGTGGGACTGCTGTTGCAATCTATCAGGGCAAATAGCCTTCCTCTTTTGTAGCAACGTCCTTCCTGTATTATTATTATTGTTACTATTATTATTATTTACTAAATTTAATTATATTTCCTTGTATTTATATTCCTCTCTTAAGTGAGATTTTCTCTTATGCAAGTGTGGAGATGCTGTCCCAATCTATCCAGGCAAATAGCCTTCCTCTTCTGTAGCAACGTCCTTCCTGTATTATTATTATTATTATTATTATTATTATTATTATTATTATTATTTACTAAATGCAATTATATTTCCTTGTATTTATATTTCTCTCCTCAGTGAGATTTTCTCCTATGCAAGTGTGGGACTGCTGTTGCAATCTATCAGGGCAAATAGGCTTCCTCTTTTGTAGCAACCTCCTTCCTGTATTATTATTATTGTTACTATTATTATTATTTACTAAATTTAATTATATTTCCTTGTATTTATATTCCTCTCTTAAGTGAGATTTTCTCTTATGCAAGTGTGGAGATGCTGTCCCAATCTATCCAGGCAAATAGCCTTCCTCTTCTGTAGCAACGTCCTTCCTGTATTATTATTATTATTATTATTATTATTATTTACTAAATGCAATTATATTTCCTTGTATTTATATTCCTCTCTTAAGTGAGATTTTCTCCTATGCAAGTGTGGAGCTGTTCTTGCAATCTATCCAGCAAATAGCCTTCCTCTTTTGTAGCAACGTCCTTCCTGTATTATTATTATTATTATTTTTATTATTATTATTATTTACTAAATGCAATTATATTTCCTTGTATTTATATTCCTCTCTTAAGTGAGATTTTCTCCTATGCAAGTGTGGAGCTGCTCTTGCAATCTATCCGGGCAAATAGTTCTTCCTCCCGGGTCAGGATGTCCTTCCTGCCTTTGCAAAACCCCTTTGCTTGTGTGTCTTTGCAGGAGGAGAACCTGAAGCGCACCAAAGGAGGGGACCTGAAGGCCAGCATCCACCGCATGGAAGTGGAGAGGATCCGCTACGTCCTCAGCAGCTATTTGCGCAGTCGGATCCGAAAGGTCTTTCCGTCATTTATTCCCTTCGTTGCCGTCCTTTGTCTCTAGGCCATCTTTCTGCCCTCATATGGATGCCTTTGTGGTTCTGTATCATATCTATATCAGTGTTGTTGGGCAAGTGGGCTTATTAGCAAAAGACCCTCCTCATAAATGCGGAGCAGAGTGATCTGTCGTATCAGAGTCACCTCTGGCTTTAAACACCACACGAGCTGGGAAAAATCAGCAAGCAGTTTATTGAGAATATAAAAATCGAAAACATGCAAATGTGAGTAGATCAATAGGTACCCCTCCAGTGGAAAGGTAACTGCGCTCCATGCAGTCATGCCAGCCACATGACCTTGGAGGAGTCTATGGACAATGCCAGCTCTTCGGCTTAGAAATGGCGACGAGCACCAGAGTTATTATAGAACCCTAAACTGGAAGAGACCCCAAAGGCCATGTGGGAGCACACAATCAAAGCACTCCTGAGAGATAGCCAACAGCCTCTGCTTAAAATTCCACCATCCCAATTTAGTGAACGGTCACTTTGGAAATGTGGATACTCCTAACGTCTGTGTTGATGCACCCAGTGCTCTTCGCTCTTCTTCCCCCTTCACCCGATGATGCTTCGCCCTTCTCCTCTTTATTTTCTCTTTAGATTGAGAAATATTTCCCGCACGTCCTGGAAAAAGAGAAGACACGGACGGAGGGAGAGCCCTCCATCCTCTCTCCAGAAGAGTTCGCTTTCGCCAAAGAGTGAGTGAATGAAGACTCGTTCGTTTCGATCAGCGTTTCTCAACCTGTGCTTCAAGACCCCTGGGGTCCTCCACTCTGATTGGCCAGCCTCTCAGCCAAGGGGAGGGCTGTTTCTGAGAATCCAAGCCGGAGGGGGGGGGGGGGGTGAGCAGTCATGCTCGGCGCATGGTAGCGTGGTACACATGTGTGGGCGAGGGAGAGCAGCCGAGGTTGGAGGGAGGCTCACGTCAGCTGGGGCATTCTGTGTGGGAAATTTGGTCCAATTCTATCATCGGTGGGGTTCAGAATACTCTGATTGTAGGTGAACTATAAATCCCAGCAACTACAAATCCCAAATGTCAAGGTTTATTTTCCCCAAACTGCGCCAGTGTTCACACTTGGGCATACTGAGTATTGGTGCCAATTTTGGTCCAGATCCATCATTGTTTGAGTCCACAGTGCTCTCTGGATGTAGGTGAACTACAACTCCCAAACTCAAACCCATCCAATATTTTCTGTTGGCCATGGGAGTTCTGTGTGCCAAGTTTGGCCCAATTCCATCATTAATGGAGTTCAGAATTCTCTTTGATTGTAGGTGAACTATAAATCCCAGCAACTACAACTCCCAAATGTCAAGATTCTATTTCCCCAAACTCCACCAGTGTTCACATTTAGGCATATTGAGTATTCCTGTAGAGTTTGGTCCAGATCCATCATTGTTTGAGTCCACAGCGATCTTGGGATGTAGGTGTACTACAACTCCAGAATGAAAGGACACTGTCCACCAAACCCTTCCAGTGTTTTCTGTGGGCCGTGGGAGTTTTGTGTGCCAAGTTTGGTTCAATTATATCATTGGTGGAGTTCAAAATGCTCTGTGGTTGTAGGGGAACTATAAATCCCAGCAACTGCAACTCCCAAATGTCAAGGTCTATTTCCCCCAAACTCCTCCAGTGTTCACATTGGAGCATATTGAGTGTCTGTGCCAAGTTTGGTCCAGATCCATCCTTGTCTTAGTCCACAGTGCTTCTCTGCATGTACATGAACTACAACTCCCCAATGTGAAGGTCAATGCCCACCAAACCCTTCCAGTGTTTTCTGTGGGCCGTGGGAGTTTTGTGTGCCAAGTTTGGTTCAATTCCATCATTGGTGGAGTTCAAAATGCTCTGTGGTTGTAGGGGAACTATAAATCCCAGCAACTCCAACTCCCAAATGTCAAGGTTTGGATCAATTCCATTGTTGGTGGAGTTCAAAATGCTCTGTGGTTGTAGGGGAACTCTTAATCACAGCAACTACAACTCCCAAAGGACAAAATCCCTGAAACAGACCTAAGAAACAAATGCTGGAAGTTGTAGTTTCACAAGCGCTTTGCCCTTCTCTGTCAAGGAGGACTGGTGCCTCACCAAACTATAACTCCCAAGATTCAATAGCCTTGAGACATGGATGCTAAAGTGGTGTCAAATTGAATTAATTTTCAGTGTAGATACACCCTCAAGAAGACTCCTTGAAGGTAACTATGGTCTTCCTGTCTTTCTTTCTTTCTTTCTTTCTTTCTTTCTTTCTTTCTTTCTTTCTTTCTTTCTTTCTTTCTTTCTTTCTTTCTTTCTTTCTTTCCAGGTACATGGCCAACACAGAGGCCCATCTCAAAAATGTGGCTCTGAAGCACATGCCTCCAAACCTACAGAAGGTGGACCTCCTCAAAATAGGTAGGGAAGCCTTGCTTGTGTAGTTGTTGTTGTTGTTGTTGTTGTTGTTGTTGTTATTGTTGTTATTGTTATTATTGTTATTAGCTGTAACCACCGCGCGTTGCTGTGGCCAACCTTCCATCCCTCTTTCTCTCCTTTCTTCCCCTTTTTTCTTTTCTGCTCTTCTTCCTTCCTTCCTTCCTTCCTTCCTTCCTTCCTTCCTTCCTTC